CATGTCTCGGCCACAAGTCCAGCTGTCTGAGAGAACAAGAACTTTGGGCATCCATATTGTAGTGCCATTTTCTTCTCCCAAGTGACTCCAAAAATGTGAATTCCCGCCGGGCGCTGGTGGCTCACGCCTGTAATCCTAGCTACTCAGGAGGCTGAGATCTGAGGATCGCAGTTCAAAGCCAGCCCGGGCAGGAGAGACCGTGAGACTCCTATCTCCAATAAACCACCAGAAAACCGGAAGTGGCGCTGTAGCTCAAGTGGTAGAGTGCTCGCCTTGAGCTGAAGAGCTGAGGGACAGCGCCCAGGCCCAGAGTTCAAGCCCCACGGCCGACAAAAAAAAAAAAAAAATGTGAATTCCCTCCACCCTGAAAGGACACTGGGTGAATGCAGCAAATGGTGTGAGTTCATTATGTTCTGCCTCATTAATTCCTTTATTCTGACCCAAGAACCCTTGTTTGCAAACTCTTCTTCCTGGTTTATCTCAACATTGCATTTGCCAATAACTCATGAATGGCGAAATGTTCCTTGTATGTCTGACCTTTATCCAAAGCGTTCCATGATTGTTTCTGTTTGTGTGCTGTGGCCTCGCTCCACCGTGCGCTGGATGTCTTGTTATTCTTGGTTGTGTGTTTATGTTTAAGGATGAAAATCCCTGCCAGGCTCCAGGGAGCAGGGTGTGCTTTCTGAGGCATTTACTTGAAGATCTCTTTCACCAATGAACCTTCCTTTGGCACGTAGAAGCAACTGGGAATTTTATATGTGGAGATCGTTTTGGCAGGCAGTTGCTACATTAAGGTATAGCACATAGAACTGTCCAGCACAATGTGGGCCTTGGGGTTGCTACGGGAGATGCTCTGTGGGTTAGGTTTATGGTCAGAGGAGGGAAGGGGATGCTCAGCTATTTGGTGAACATTATTCTGGACCCTTCTGAAAAGTGCGCTTCCAATGAGGTTAATATTTGATGTGTTTCCTTTTTTGTCACCGTCGGTTACTATGGCAAGGAGTGGCCCGATAGGCCTGGGTGACCAAGGTCATTATCCTAACAGCTCCAGCCACGCAGAGAGAGAGGACGGAGTTGGCGAGAAGAGGCCAGAGCCTCTGTCGGGGTTTTCTTGGGACAGAATAGTGTAGGATGTGCTTGCTAGTTTGGAAAATCGTAGCTGACACTGCCCTACAGGTTGATCTCCAGTTGCCTAGCCCCTGGTCCTGGAACAGTGAAGACAAATCATGCCTCCCGGAGTGTGCGGGTCTGAGGGAGGAGGCTGGAGACGTGCTATTCGGTTTGCTCACCGTAGCCATGCCTCTGCACAGGCCTTCTGCTGCTTCTGAAAACACTCTGATAGGAGGAACATTCTAGAGCCAAAGTTTTTATCTTTTCCTTCTGATTTCTAAAGTATCAATATACCATGTAATAAGCAAAATATATGCAACACAATATAAACAGCTGAAGACTCCTTTCCATCCCTGTAGGTGCAGGTAATTCAATGTTGACAGTGTAATATGCCAAAAATAACAAATTGTCAACACAAAGGAGCTATAAGAACTTAGTTAATAGTTGGGGTGTTTATATCGCTCTTCCTTGTTGACTTTCAACCAGCTTCTCAACAGGTGGCCCCATGAAAGAACGGAGAGAGTAAAGACTGGTATGCACAGGTAGCTGCTCTTTCCCACAATCCCCCAGTGTGGTTTGTTTTTAACAATTTTAGGTATGCTTTTATTATATTTTTATGCATGCATGCCTCATATTTGCCCATATTGTCCTCCACGGAAGGTGACCCTCAACAGCCCGCCTTCCTCCTGGCTTCCTCACCATTTCACCTTTAAATCTACATCTGAAGCACTATTTTGGTTTCTTTTAGACCTTGATTCCATATACGAGAGGGAAAACACACCATTATTTGTCCTCCTGAATCTGGCTTATTTTGATGATCTCCAGCTCTTTCCATTTTCCTATAAATGACATAATTTTGTCCTTCTTATGGCCAAATAATACAAAGAACGCATATTTGCGCACACGCATGCGTGCACACACACACACACACACACACACACACACACACAATTTACCCATCAGCAGATGAGTTTCCAGGCTGATTTCATAGCTTATGCAATCATGGATCACTCATAGGAGAAGGGGATTCTGCAGGTAAACCAGTGTCGGTCTTAGATGGAAATTCCTCTGTGAAACTCAAGACTGCCAGGCTGGGCTGCAGAGCCACAGATTTCTTAGTCAATTCCTTGAAAACATCCATTTCTCTGCTTATCCATCTGGCAGCTCCAGAGGGCTCTTTCTTTCTAATTATCTTTATAAGTAGGTGCTGAACGTGGAGTGGCTGTAAAGGGGAAAAAAACCCTCAAGTTTTCTGAACTGGTTCTATGATTTCTGTAGTTGGATATAATCAGATTAAAGACAGTAATTCCTTCCCTTCCCTTCCCTTCCCTTCCCTTCCGTTCCTTCTTTCCTTCCTTCCTTCCTTCCTTCCTTCCTTCCTTCCTTCCTTCCCTCTCTCTCTCTCTCTCTTTCTTTCTTCCTTTCTTTCTTTCTTTCCCTCCCTCCCTCTTTCTTTCCTTCCTTCCTTCTTTCTTTCTTTCTTTTTTGTGTGCTGGTTCTGGGGCTTGAACTCTCAGCCTGGGTACTGTCCCTGAACTCCATTTGCTCAAGGCTAGTGCTCTACCACTTGAGTCAAGCACCACTTCTGGCTTTTTCTGTGATTAATTGGAAATAAGAATCTCATAGACTTTCCTGCCCAGGCTGGCTTTAAACCATGATCCTCAGATTTCAGCCTCCTGAGTAGCTAGGATTACAGTGAGCCACTGCTGCTTGGCTAATGACTCCATTTCAGGGACAAGAAGCTGGTCGCTCTTGGAGGAGGGGTCATACAGTTCCACCCTGAGAGCAAGTGAACACGTTTTCATTCTGACAAGGCGCTTAGTGAGGAGGCTGCTCTTAATATTTCTGGACAAAGTTGGAGTAAATGTGACAACCTGAAAGACTGCAATTCTTAAGTCCATGAGCAGGGGGCTCATGAAAGAGCCTCTTACCTCCAGCGGCACAAGGAGATTTATTTTTATATTATTAATAAAAATCTCCAATGAACATCTCATAATTATATATACCTATGGGGTACATTGTAATTATTTTTCTGTCAGTTGTGGGGCTTGAACTCTGGGCCTGAGCGCTGTCCCTCAGCATTTCAGCTCAAGATGAGCGCTCTACCACTTGAGCTACAGAGCCACTTCCGGTTTTCTAGTGGTTTATTGGAGATAAGAGTTTCACAGACTTTCCTGCCCTGGGCTAGCTTTGAACCATGATCCTCAGATCTGAGCCTCCTGAGTAGCTAGGATGACAGGCGTGAGCCACCGGTGCCTGGTGGTACATTGCAATTCTTTTAATGATACACTCCTTTATTATTTCAGGTAAAAATAAACAGAAACTTTGCAGTCTTAAACATCTCTTTTTTTTTTTTTTTGGTCGGTTGTGGGGCTTGAACTCTGGGCCTGGGCACTGTCCAGCTCAAGGCGAGTGCTCTTCCACTTGAGCTACAGCGCCACTTCCAGTTTTTTCTGGTGGTTTATTGGAGATAGGAGTCTCACGGTCTCTCCTGCCTGGGCTGGCTTTGAACCGTGATCCTCAGATCTCAGCCTCCTGAGTAGCTAGGATTACAGGCGTGAGCCACCAGCGCCTGGCTAGTCTTAAACATCTTGAAGTGCACAGTTCAGTGGCAGCAACTCTATTACCTTGTTACACACGTCGATGATATATTTTTTATTAGTGTACATGCATTGCACAAAGGACTTTTCCTGCGACATTTCCACACATGCACGTAATGCACTTTGATTAAATGCATCTCCTCCATACTCTTGTGTGCCCCCCTTTCCCCCCTCCACCCCGTCCGAGCCTTTGTGAACAGCTGTAGTGGTTCTACTTTTGTGCATTCACACAAAGTACTTCGGCCATACTCACTCCACGTAGCTGTCTTCTTTCCCCACTTCTTCTGGTTCTCCCTTTCACGTGAGTGCTTCTTTATTATTTCTAGATTCTGCATATGAGCCCAAACATGTGGTATTTGCCTTTCTGAGAGTGGCTTCTCTCACTCAGCACGATTGCCGCTTGCCCCCATTGTCCCGCACTGTAATGCGTTCCTTCCAGCGATGGAAATGGGCCTTGTTCTCACAACCCGATGCTGCCGTCACAGCCACTGACCCTGCTCCCCTCCCCAGGGGCACTTCTCAGAAAAAGCTCGCTCACCCTCGGCCCTTTCTAGAAGTTTCATGTTGCCCCTGGTGAGTCTGGCCGTCGGAGGCAGTTGTCTGATTTGACTACCTTTCTTTTTACATGTTTGGTTTTTGATGGTTCTTCTTTACCTTTGGTGTACTCACAGGGACATCTTGGAAGAGTGGGAGGGAGGATACAGAACTCAAGGGAAAAAGGGAGGAAAAGCGTGGCGGTGGAGCCCACTGGACTGAGGAAAATGAACTGTACAACTTGTTGCTGGAGATGGGAGGGAGGAGAGGACCAGAGACACTGCATGGAAGGAAATGCACTCATTACCTGACTCAAGTAACCGCAGTCCCTCTGAACATCTTCTCTAAAACAATGCGGTGACCAGATTTTAAGAAATGAAGACTCCCCGCCCCCGTCCTCGCGTCTCCGACACCGCTCGGCCTTCCTGGAGGACTTCTGCAGCCGTGGTTGCGGCCTGCTCTGGCCTGCAAGGGCTCTGCCTTCTTTCTCCCCTTTGTCGGCTTGCTCTCCCTGTCACAGGTGACACAGCTCACGTTCTAGCCCCCGTTGCTCTGGACAAGGCAGGCTTCCGGACTCTTCCAATTCCTGTTCGAATCTTCAACCCCAGCCCTGCATTTTCTCAATCCCTTCTACAAAGAGACCCAAGATTCATTTTGGCCTAAAGAACATAAGCTTGAAATAAAGGTTTCCTTTATTTTTTTGGACCATAACAGAATGAAAGGTATTTATTTTGATATAATTTTATTGCTCTTATGAAGACAATGAGTTCATTTCTCTTTTGGACAACATCACCCAGTGTTTTGCTCCTTCTAGTTTCCCCTCCTGTTCCTGCCCGCAAGTCGCATAGTTCATTTCCCAGGTTGTATCCACGGAATGCCACGCTTGTGCTGAAACATGACTGACTACAAATCCTCTTGTGGTTTCCAGGTTCCCTCTCCCAGGCCCTCCCGGCCTATTTACAGCAGTTGGCCATCTTATGGTAACAGCTGCCCTCAACTTTAGTGTTCTTTGGGCATTCAGAATAGAGACAGAATCCACCTTTCTTCACGCAGAGGTAGTGGTCAGATCTGTGTCCCAGACCCGTGAGGCCGGCATCTGCATGGAGGGAAGAGAAACACGTCAAACTCAAGGCTGCACTCCCGGGGTGGGGAGACGCTGGGCGAACGCAGGGCAGACAGCTGTGCAAACGACAGGAAATCTCCTGTCTCTTCCAGGGAGAATGCGTGAATTGACCCCTGGGGTTGCTGTTGAGAAGCTCAGCTGTCGAGGAGGAGCAGCCTGGGGACATGTGGAATTTGTTTGGCCCAAAGGCTCTTGGCTGTTGAGGGAACTCACGCTTTTCCTAACTAGAATTTCCCCCTTCCTCCTCCTCTCCCCACACTCACGTGAATGAACGCATTGTGGGCCCCAGACTAGGTGCGCATCCTCAACCCTGCTGCCCTCCTGCCACCGGTTGCACAGGTCTGTCTGATCTGAAGCCTAGTCCTCAGTTTGCCTACCACCATTTCTGCCCAAACCTATCATCCTTCATTTCAGGCTGAAACACTGCTACTCTGTCAAGCTCTCTCCAATTGGAAGCTATTTTACTGCCTGTCCAGCATCACAGAATATCATTATTAGAAGGTTCCCTAGACTGGTTTTCCATAGAATGCAATAGGAAACAAAATCATACTCCGTGATATTCTGGAAAAAGACCACTAGGCATTATTATTTCACTTTTTGTTACTGAAAATTAGTTGTGCAAAGGAGTATCATGCTAGTATTTCCATATATGTGTGCAATGTGACTTAATCTACTCCATTAACTTGTTCTTAACTCCACCCTCCTCTCTCCTTTTCCCTGGGTTTCATTATGCTATTTTCCTATGTGTGCATATGTGCATTGTGTGTGTATACAAAGTACACTTCTGACTTGGGTGAGATGGAATCTCAGTGCTGTTTGGATTTGCATTTCCCTCATGGCTATGGTATTGAACATTGCTTCATGTATTTATTAGCAATTTGTGCTGCTTTTGACAGTTGTGTGCTCCCCAGGAAAAAGTCTTGATTGGGGCTTCTACCAGCCCACCAATAGCTAAGAAGCTTTCTGCACCTTCTCTGGGGCCTTACCCTCACTTTTAAAGAAACTTTACCTTTGCTCCTACTTTTCCTGCCTCAAAGATCTTTATTTGGTGGGGAAAAGAAAGGACTCAGAATCCCTAGATAATATTATAAGCAGAACCTAATAGGAGCAGTTCTGGTGCAAGCTCACAAAGAGCAAGCGCAGTGTTGAATTGTTAGGACTTTGGGAATTCTTGGAGACGGAATGAATACATCTAACATTGTAAGACTGGCATAGACATTTGGAAGTTAGAATATTGAGTTTTAAAGGAGATATGTTTGGGTGTCAAACTGACAAGGGGTGGACCTCTCTCATGTGGAATGCAAGAGAGGAAATGAGAATGAGAATGTAAGGGGGTCCAATTAGGGATGTGGAAGAGGACAGGGAAGTGCTATGAAAGCGTTTAGAGCTGGGTGCCGGTGACTCAGGCCTGTAATCCCAGGTACTCTGAAGGCTGAGATCAAAGCCAGCCCAGGCAGGAAAGTCTGTGAGACTATCATCTCCTGTAAACCACCCAAAAGCTGGAACTAGAGCTGTGGCTCAAGTAGTACAGCACTGGTCTTAAGCAAAAAAGCCCAGCGACAATTCCCAGGCCCTGAGTTCAAGCCTCAAGACTTAATAAAAGATAGTAAAGGGATAGATATGATCAATGTGCATTATGTTCATGTTTGGAAATGCCATAAATAAATATATAACATTGTATAATTAATATATGCCAATTTAAAAAAATCAAGAACCAATTCCGTTTTCTTTGTGCGACAATCTGGGGCTTGAACTCAGGGCCTGGGTACTGTCACTGAGCTTTTATTTGGTTCAAGGCTAGTGCTCTACCACTTTAGCCACAGCCCCATTTCTGGCTTTTTGATAGTTTATTGGAGATGAGTCAAACTTTCCTGCCTGGGCTGCCTATGACGCCTTGGTTCCTCAGATCTTAGCCTCCTGAGTTGTTAGGATTAGTGGTGTGAGTCACCAGCACCCGGCTAGAACTAATTTCTTTAATGAATCTCAATTATCTCACACAAAGGACACAAAACAAATAGCAATGAAGTTAGTGTCAGGTGCTTTAGTTACCTTCTGTGTTAAAAACTAATCCGCGTTGTGTCCTTTGGTAAGGTGCTCTCCTTCTCTGGGCTCTATCTTCTCAAACTTAAAACCGAGGAGACAAGGCCTTATGATCTCCCGCATTTATGATTCTGGGAACTCGTCTTTGGTGAGGGACTGATTCATTTGTAGTTGCACTTAGTTCTCCGGGAACGCTTTCCTCCCTTAATGCCAGACAGTAAAGCAGAAGTTCCCAGAGTTTGAATGAGTTATTCATTATTCAGTACTGGAACTCATGTTTGAATGTCAACAGTTGGTATTAACAAGATCTAATAAGATCAGGATGAAAAATTGAAGGTCAACCTCCTTGATCAAAAAAGAGACAATAGTTCTGAATGGGAGCTAACAGAATAAAACTGGGTCCACTTGAGTAACATTATATAATCAGCCAAGGCTATAAAAATAAGAAAGTCAGATCATCTTAATAGATGCAGAAAAACATTTGAAACATTCAATATTGACTCACTAATCTAGCAATGAATATTTTGAGAAAAGTCGTGCTCCCATTGATCAGAATTTTAGTTTTAACAACTAGCAATAAGATCAAGATATTGAGTACCAGTGCTTCCATTTAACATTGTAGTTAAGCTACTAGCTAGGGAAATAAGAAAACAGATACATAATAGCCCCAAGAGTGTATAATACTTGTCAGTATTTGCAGATCTTATGATTATTCACAGATGAAAGAGGATTAAGCAAACCAGTTTGGCATGTTTTTGCTGTATAAAAGATCAGAAAAGAGAAGCAATCAGTTTTAGTGTTTTAGAACCGGACAGTGAAGTGATATTAAAAATAAAAGTGCCATATTGAAAAGCGTGAAGTATTAGATGCCTGGTTATGAATCTACAAAAACATGTTCAACGTTTCTGTCCCTGGCCATAAAACCAACTGTAGTAAAAAAAATTCAAATAAGTGGAAATGTTACGTTTAAACATAAGATGGTTGCTTAATACATGTTAGCAGTTTTCCAAGTTAATCTTCAACCCATAATAATCCAAACATTCTTTTAGTGAAACTTGAAGTTGGTTCTAAAAACGTATTCATAAACTCAAAGGGCTAGACTCCCACGACATTCCTGGAGAGGAAGGCCGGAGGACTGGCTTTACCAGTTGTGAAGACTAATTATAGAGGTACTGCAATTAAGACAGTGTGGTGATAACAAAGGACAGGCAGACAGAAATGGGACAGGGGGAAAGGCAGAAAGAGAGCACAGCACGCATGAAGAACTTAGGGGGAGCAGAACAGGGGGGAAATCAGTTCTTCTTCCTGGGATGTTTGGGTGTTCAAAGTAGGGAAAAAATTGACCTTTCTATCAACACTCTCTCTCTCTCTCTCTCTCGCTGAAGAGAAGCAATATATTTATTGTAAGCCTAATGTAAAAGTGAAACCAATAAACTTCTAGCAAGTAATACTGGAGTTTGTCTTTATAATACAATTGTCACTAACTCCAGAAGAAATGACATGACATGAATCCATTGAAATAAAGATTAAAATCACTAAGAAAAGTTTCTGGTCATAAGGTGAACAATCAAGGCACAAGGCAAGAGATGGCTTTTGTAATGCACATGACTGAGTGTAAAGAGCTACCCAAAGTAATAAGCAAAGAACGATAATTTGATGGAAAACATGAGCAGCCTTTCACAAAGGCCATCCAAGAGACACGTGCCTGAATACAAACACTATTTATTAGAAGAAATGAAAATCCAAACCATAATGAGATAGCCCTACAGTATACCATATGGATCCAGTTAGAAATGAACCCATGTTACAAGAGTTGAAATAGGGAGGGAGGCATGCTCATGTACATTAGAGTAAGCACTTTGGCATCGCCCTGAGAAATTAGATATGCGCTTATTCTGCGACCCAAGCCACAGAGCTAGGCATACACACTAGTCTCAGCAAAGCTACACACATCATAACCCAGGCTGTGTTATTGAACATAAATCATCATGGAGTAAATGTACGAGAAACACGGAAAGCTAGTACCACAAATGTGTGGTTAACAGTGAGAGGAGGGCTCCCCGGGGCTGTAAAGTGCTAATTCTTTGTGGTTGTTGGTCACGAGGCTTGAACTCAGAGCCTGTCTCTGAGCTTTTTTGCTCAAGGCTAGCACTCTACCACTTTGAGCCACAGCTCCACATCAGATTTTCTGGTGGTTAATTGGAGGTAAGAGCCTCACAGACGTTCCTGCCCAGGCTGACTTTGAACCTTGATCCTCAGATCTTAGCCTCCTGAGTAGCCAGAATTACAGACTTGAGTCACAGTGCACAGCACAAAGTGCTATTGCTGCATCTACATGGTCTCCACAGGGTGCTTGCTTCATGGTAATTAATTAAGCTGTCCAAGCCTTTTTCATATGTATTTTCTTTGCTAATCTGGACTGAGAAAGCTAAGCTACTTACTATATTATTTGGTGGCCTCCATAAAAGTGTAAACCTATGTTGCAGAGAACTCTGTGCCTAAGAATAAAGGGAGAGCTGGTCAGTGGGGTCCAAGCAAGGCAAGAAAGCAGGATTGCGGCAGTTTCAATGCTTGGGGCTAAAAGACCGACTCATTCACATACATTTGTTATGTCAGATGCAGCTGGATTGCCTATAATCCTGCATCAGTGCAACTGTCACACCAACTAGTCAGGCGTAACAATAGGTGTTGGCAGAATGGAAGGCAAGGTGAATACGTGGCAGGAAATATGGTAGGAAATGTATGTCAATGGGTCATTACTTAGAACAAGAGAGGGAGGGAAGCAGGGCTCATAGAGCGAGCCCAGCGTGGGCTTGGTCTCCACGGAGCCAACACACAGTAGGTCTGCACATAGAAGACATGCATTCTGTGGAGACCGAAGGAGATCTAGCACAAAAGAGAAGCCGCTGGGCTGTAGGAAGTATGGCTAATTCAACTGTGATGACGAGTCCTATTAAACCACAGAGAGGGATCTATGGACTTTATATAAAAGATCCACAGAAATACAATTTCTTAAGGAGAATTTGTTTGGAGATTGCGAGACAAGGAGGTTGAGAAGCTGAGAGTAATTGTGAACATTTCCAGATGTTAGTGGCACAATTTCTGCTCCTCCATTTGTGCTGCTTCAGGTCCATCCAGAGACTCACTTATGAGACACTAAGATTGCCTTTGCATGAGAGAATTACAGATATGCGTGAAGTTCTGGGAAAACATCACAGAGGGAAAGTGGAGGATGGACGACTGTGACACAGATTTCTTGTAGTAAAAGCCCATCAGGATGAGGTGGAACTAATTGTGAGAAGGCTCCGGGTTTGATAGAAATAGGCCCGTATTGTTCCATCCCTCCACCCAGATTTGCATGGCACACATTGGATTAAAACACACATGGGCAGAGAGGGAGGGACTCACAGAGCAGCTGGCTTGAGAACCAGAAAGAGAAGCCCAAAAGCAATCAGCAACTCAGACCTTCCACACAGGTGCCAGGGAGTCCACACCTGTGACACTAAATAGTGGGCAGAGACTGAGGATCGCTCACAGGTCCGGACCACATCTCGGCCTGGGTCAGGACCAGGTGTCCAGTGTTGAGTGTCTGGGAAGGCCTCAGAACACGCGGGCGCCTCCGGCAGGGTGTAAGAACAAAGGCTGACCGCATCGGGGTGTTACGTTGATATGGATTCAATACTAGGATGTGGGGAGGCATTTATATGAATCTGTTGAAACTATCTGTCAAAAAATATCAGCCAGACAGTCAGTCCTGCCAAACAAATAACAAAACTCCAAAGCAGTCTGTAAACAACAAAAGAAGTCACTCGCTCTGTGAAGTGAGGTCTCATGGAAGCCCCCACCCATTCCTAGGAGATGGGGGCGGTGGTCAGCATCCCCTGTGGCCCAGGGCAGGGCAGCCAGTGCTCTTCTCTAGGGGATCTCCAAAGAGGACAGTGACGGCCATGTCTGCAAGGGATGGGAAGTGTGAGGAAGAGGGCAAGCTGGGGGTCAGACCTGCATGTGCATTTGTGTCCTTTCCTGCACAGCGTGTGTGCGTGGCGGGGTAGGTGAGCATCGGGCCCTCTGAGTGTCAGCCTGAAGGTCAGTGGCGTGGGCGTCACATCAGGCCTGATGGGGGAGGCGCTGGGAGAGTCTGGAGGGGACAATCGGAAGCTGCCGGCCCTGTGGCACTGTCCTGAGCAGGGCTTCTGGGTGTCAGGGACTCCTCTCTCCGGCTCTCCAAGTGCTCAGTCTGGCCTGGCCTGAGGGCTGCAGGCTCTTTTCTGACGTAATGGGAGGCTGCTTTCTAGATGGGATCCAGAGGTCCTTGGGGCTGGATTCCTGGGAGCCGTTGGCAGAGGTCTCAGAGGTAGAAGGAATTGGGGTTTCCTGGGTGAGCCCCTCAGATGAGAGAGGAGGGATATAGGAGATGGCAGGGTACAGAGGCCTGGATGCCGGCACCTGTGCATTGTGTGACGGGGGACCCGGGCTCAGAGGAGCCGACACAAGGCGGGAGGAGGAAGTGTCGGTATGAACGCCGTCACCCGTGCTGATGGGAAGGGCGGGGTCCCATTCTTGGGAGCCCCTGGCTGGCCTGTAACGTAGTCCCCAGGAAAACAGACCTCTAGACACGCCAGTCTCTCAAAAAGGCATCTTTCTTCTGTCCCTGTCCTGACTGGAAACCTTCAGGGCCTCACCTGACATGTGTGTTGTCCTCACAAAGCCCAGCCATCCTTGGATTTGCTGTTCCTAATTTCGTCTCTCAGAATCCAGCCTCACCCTGCACAGTAAGCGTCCCAGCTGGACCATCTAGGAGCTGGTGGCTGCTCTCAGTCCTCCAGTGCTGACCACCTGTCAGGTGACTTGGACCAAAGCATTCCTCTACAGAAGCGTAATGATGGTCCTTTGCTCCTCATAAGAGCGTTGTAAATACTAATTCAAGTGAGCTCTATTGTTTATGTTCCTGCACGTCTCTGGCCTTTCACAAACGCCACCTTTCTAGCTACCTGTCTTCTCTCTGTCACAGTTTTACTCCGTCCTGAGCTGCACACCCAGTGCCCTCAGTAGCTGGGCCTAGCTGTATTTACCAGGCCGAGGAGAGGCCCACCACTTCCACGGATCCTCAGAAATGACTTTTGGATGCCTGAGCCCCGGCCAGCCCCTCGGTGTGGCCACCTTGGCCTCTGTGCTCCTCATCCTGTCTTGACACCGTTGTGATTGGGCAGTCCACGCTAAGACACACTTGTTCAACTCGCACGTGGCCTCAGGCACCCTTGATTTCCAAAGACCTCCTGAGTGGCCCGCTCACCTTCCCTTCCTTCTGTGCTCACAAGCAGCGTTTTAGGAGCTGGAAGTGGGTGGTGTGTGTCCTTTCATGACAGGGAGGAAGTCTGCTCAGCTCTGGAGTCTTGGACTCCTGTGTCTATGGAGGAAGACCTTTCTGAGAATGTTTTCCAGAAGTGTGAGTGCACTGGTGTTCTGTAAGGGCCCAGGGCGGCCACAGAACCAAATGGGCTGGCACCTTCTTCTAGAAAAGACAGTTAATGTCCCCAGCACTGAACTCTGAGGTAGGCAGGCAGGTTGACCTACAGGCTTGCAAGAATAGAAATTCTGATGTCACTCAACTGGCTTGAGTGACTGTTGCATTCATTCGTACACACACAGCACAGTCTTGGCACCACAAATATACAGAATTTGTACTTGTCATCTATGCTTTAGTATTTAACAAACAAACAAACCAATAAATCCCAAATCCATGCCTAAAACGCAGGAGAGACCATAGGCCCAAAATACAGGAGACCTGATCTAGAAATCTGCAGAAGATACTTGGGGAGTTGGTTCTTCCTGACACCAAGACTCAGACCAGCACACATGAATCTCAGGGAAAATAGTTTTTTTTTATGAAGCAATGCCCTTCTCAGGCCAAACTGGAGTACTCTGGGTCCACAGTGCCCCCTTGGTGGTCTGGGGCCTCAGACACTCACTGCTTGTCTGCAGCTGGATCAGCTCTGCTCATTCATAGAAGGCAAACTGATCAACTCAAGACTGGGAAGGTTATGCTAACAGGACTTATGTATCCTGAAAAGATGCTTGGAGAGGTCTTGCCTGGATTCTCCAAGCAGTCCTGAGTGCTCAGCTCTGGCCTGGATTCTCCAAGCAGTCCTGAGTGCTCAGCTCTGATCTTTTTTTTTTTCCCCAGGAAAAACAAACATTGGGCTTTTAATCTTCTTCAGTAAAACCCAAGACTTAGTAACATTGAAAGTACACCAAGCATGCAGTCTTTCTACTTCAATGAGGTCCATCTTATATATCTTATACCTTGATGTTCTAAGTATTGAATACAGGCACAAACCAGAACAAAGGAGCCGAGTGCCCCAATTCAGTTATGGTCGCCTCTATTCTTTTTTTCTTTTTTTCTTTTTTTTTGGGTCCGGTCATGGGGCCTGAACTCTGGGCCTGAGCGCTGTCCCTCAGCTCTTCAGCTCAAGGCTAGCGCTCTACCACTTGAGCCACAGCGCCACTTCCGGCTCTTTATTTTTCTGCTTATGTGGTGCTGAGGAATCGAACCCAGGGCCTCATGCATGCAAGGCAAGCGCTCTACCACTGAGCCACCTTCCCAGCCTGGTTGCCTCTATTCTTAAGACACAGTCTCAGCGAGCAGACCTGACTCTCTTCCACCCTGGAGACATTGCTTTCTATGCTGTGAAGGAGTTGATCACTCACACTTCACTAGGGGAATAAGAACTCTCCCTGCGGGAAAAGCTGCTTCTAAACTTTTGAGTTTAGACTGTCAGAAGGAAATAAATCCCTCTTTCTCAGTGAAAACACCCTCTCTGCCTTTTCCTCTCTCTCTCTCTTCTTCTCTCTCTCTGATACACACACACACACACACACACACACACACACACACACACACACAGATACAGGAATAGTCAAAGAGCATGTGCCATCTTGCCTGTTTTGCACTGCCCTTTTCTAGCCATCAGAATACCCAGCACTGTGGTGGTTCATTCAGTTGATTGGTCTATCTCTGGCCCATGCCACCACTGCCAATGAAGAACTCTGCTTTGAGAATGTGTTTGCATGCAGGTGTCAGGTGGGACAATTGAGGTATAGCAAGAATGAGCTAAGCTGGTCTGGAAAATCAGAGCCTCCCGGAGTAGTTTCAGGCTCTGACACAGCCCGGGGACCCTCATTATGCAGTCGAGGAACCACGTGTCTTGTTCAGGGTCACCATGGGATAAAATCCTACTTTGGAGCCCTGCCTTCTCCACACCAAGGACCCCGTGGCTGGTCTCCGCTGGTCTCCTGGGAACTCCAGTCCCTGTTGGTGGCTGTTTGTCTTTGGTGTGGCGGGATGCACCTACACATTTGCTTGGTACAAGCCCTGGCTGGGTTGTCCTGGCAGGGGGGGTAGTTGAACCTGTCCTGCCACGACTCAGGGTGAGGACGCTGTGGGCTCTGCATGGGAAGCCGACGCGTCCGTGTGAGAGGTGAAGCAGAGTTCCTTCCACACAGAGTCTATCCTCCATGTCCAGGACTAAGATTAGGCAGGGAGTTCCCATAACTGGACACGGGGCCCCTGCTGACTGGGGCTGACCGGGGCTCAGCCAGTGCCCCCTGAAGGCTTACCTGGGGGGATCTGGCAGAAGAGAAGGCAGAAGAGCAGGAGCAGAACGCAGGGAGACCTCATGGCGCTGTGGGCTGGGCTCAGAGGGCAGGCAGGAGACCGTGGCGCGGCAGAGCTGAGGAGGCGTCCGGAGGCCAGCGTGTGACTGTATTTATGGAGGTGCAGGATTGTGCAACCTCGTAGCCGAGCCGAAGGGAGGAGGAGTAAGCTGAGTGGATTCTAGTAATTAGCCCCGAGTAACCTCCACATTTTGCCCTGTCTTGCCGTGGCCGGAGTTCACGCTCAGCGCCTCCTGCCAGGCTTGCTTCCAGCTTAGGGGGCTTCTCCTGGCCAGGTGGCCCTTGCTAGGAACCGCCTCTGACACTGACTCCGAGTCCAGGCAGATGAGACCAGCGCGGGGCCTTTCCAGTTCCGCTGGTGTTGGTCCATTCTGGGCCTCCGTCTCCCGAGGGGCAGGCAGCCTTTTGTGGAATGGAAGCTGAGCCGGTTGCAGGGATGGGAATTCTTCCTAAGACCAAGGCTGCTGTTCACTCCCACACTGCCTATAGCTTTCTCTCAGAGGGACCAACGCACGCTTTGCTTTTCCAACTGAATAGGGAGGAGCTCCTGAGATTTCCATCTGGGGATCCAGCGGTGGCGTCAGCAGAGCTTGGAGGGCAGCAGGGTCAGTGCCTGCCGCTGGAGGGACTGGACTGGGCTGGGCTTTCTGTTAGTTTGTCTCTAAATACCCCTCTAGTGTTCGTGGACGCTGAAGTCTGGACGAGCATTTTCTTCATTGTTAATTTTCAGTGTGCTCTGAGGCAGCTTCTGTTTTGACAGAAAATGTCTTCCCACCTCAGCCTTTGACTCCCTCGAACCCCGTCCATGTTTAGGCACCGAGGCCATCTGACGGCCTCAGTTATGAGGCTGGCTGCACAGGAGGCTGGACAAGCAAGACTCAGGAGGCAGTCAGTACTCAGGAGGTGGACAGCACTCAGGAAGTGGTCAGCACTCAGGAGTGGTCAGTACTCAGGAGGTGGACAGCATTCAGGAGATGAGTAGCACACACAGGAGGTGGTCAGCACACACACAGGAAGTGGTCAGCACACACAGGAGGTGGTCTGCACACACACAGGAGGTGGTCAAGCACTCAGGAGGTGGTCAGCACACAGGAGTTGATCGGCACACAGGAGGTGGTCAGCACACACACAGGAAGTGGTCAGCACTCAGGAGATGGTCAGCACACACACAGTAAGTGGTTAGCACTCAGGAGGTGAGCAGCACACACACAGGAAGTAGTCAGCACATAGGAGGTGGACACACTCAGGAGGTGGTCAGCACTCAGGAGGTGGTCAGCACACACAGGAAGTGGTCAGCACATAGGAGGTGGACAGCACTCAGGAAGTGGTCAGTACACACACAGGAAGTGGTCAGCACTCAGGAGATGGTCAGCACACACACAGGAAGTGGTCAGGACTCAGGAGGTGAGCAGCACACAGGAGGTGGTCAGCACACACACAGGAACTGGTCAGGACTCAGGAGATGGTCAGCACACACACAGGAAGTGGTCAGCACTCAGGAGATGGACATCACTCAGGAGGTGGTCAGCACACACAGGAAGTGGTCAGCACTGAGGAGGTGGACAGCACTCAGGAGGTGGTCAGCACACACACAGGAAGTGGTCAGCACTCAGGAGATGGTCAGCACACACACAGGAAGTGGTCAGCCCTCAGGAGATAGTGGTCAGCACTCAGGAGGTGGACAGCACTCCCGAGGTGGTCAGCACACAGCCTGGCCAAGCTGGCTCAGCAGGAGATTTCCGTGTATTAGCTGTGTGGGTTTAGAAGCTTGTTTCTGTTTTCTGGTCCTTAGTGTTTTTCTCTCGTGAAATGGAGGCAACGCCATATAGCCATGCAGTCCTTGTGTGCTTGACTCACAGTAACGATCTCTTAAAAATAATCTCAGGATGGTGCTGCCGGGACAGCTAGTGCCCGTCCATCCCGGCCTCCACACAATCGACACCTGGAATGCTAGACATGACCAGACTGACATTTTCTGCTCGGAACCTGGGAGGCCTGATGCTGTGGGATGGCGACCATCCTGTGATGCATTTTTCTAGCTTGTTTCTTAGAAACCTCCACTGCGGCAGCTTCGCCCGTCTCCCCCTGACCCTCAGAAGCACACATGCAAGAGCAGAGTTGTTCCCCTGGCTCCTCTAGAGGAGCCACACAGGGCAAGCCAGCGTGTAGGGGCATGCCAGCCATGTGTGCCCCGCACTGTGCCGCTCACAGAGCTGGGGAGGAGGTGTTTAAGTTATGGGTGTTGTGCTCGGAGACGGTACCAGGCCCACACACCGACACGTTTCCTTCTGCCTGTACCTGCAGCAGACCCTGCTGGCGGCCCAGCCTTGCAGGCCACACGGCCTGCACCATGCAGCTGGAGCTGTGTGCATCAGCTGATGGTCACACTCGCGGAGCACGGGAGCACTGCAGTGTGGGGCACGGAGTCTGGCAGCGCCTGCCCTGGGGCCCCAGACAGGATGCCATCCTCTCCCTGTGAAAGGTCGAGCGGGCTTGCGCTGCAGTGCCGTGCACCTGATGCTGGGTGAAGCCCGAAGGAGAAGCCGAGAGCAAGACGGACATAGTTCCTGTCCCACCGAACTTAGCATCCAGCATGCGGCCAGCGGCCAGTCTGGGTCTGATGAGCCTCTTCTTCCTTCTCTAGAACCAGGCATGTACTCAGTTCTGTCATATGCCCCATTGCCTTCCCTTCACCGCCAGACTCAGTCTGCAGGAGGCTCAAATCCAGGGATAGTGACGGGCTCCTGTGATGTCCCCAGGCACCTGTGTGCTGCCATCCTCAAGGCCTGAGAGGCTGAGGACGCGGGTGGCGGAGGAAGGCGGTGTCTGCCTGTAGGCCTCACGGCCCTGCCAGGGTCTGCTCCGCGTCTCCAGGGACAGTGGGAAATCACCAAGAGGATTTTGTTCTTGTTTTCACACACTGTTGTAAATGAAGCATCACATAAAGTTCACCATTTGAACCCTTTTGAGTGACCTCAACTCACAGTTGTGCAACTACGTCTACTTCTCATCTGCAGAATATCTCCGTCTCTCCAAGCCGAAGGAGGCTCGTTCACCACAGGCTCCCTCCCCACTCCCTTCTCCCGGATGCCCGCAGCCTCCATTCAGACTGTCGCAGACAGCTTTAGGAAACTCAGCAGAGGGAATCACGTGATCCATCCATTTGCCGCTGGCTCATTTTACTCAGCTGAACACCTGGAAGGTTTGTCATAGTACACATCAGAATTTCTGCTTCGAAGGCTGAATTATTTTTTCCCTAGCTGTGTATACCACATTATATTCATCCATGTTGAATGGTTTCAAGAAAGAGAAGCGTCTGATTTTTGTTCTGGACAGATCAGCCTCATGGCTTTGCTCATTTGTAAGGGATGGTGGTGAGGATGCTCACAAATGACAGGTGTGAGATCCTCTTAGGAGGAGGAATGAAAAGATGCACTGGGTGTGGAGAGAATCAAGAAAGAGGAGAGGGTTGGGCTCATCCAGGAGCAGATGTCCTTGGCTGGCTGGTGGAGTTTGAGAAGTACCGGAATCCTCTTGAGCAGGAGGATATGAACCCGGATCTCAAGTCTCAGCCAGAAACCCAGATGGGACTTCCCAGCTCACAGGTGACAACTGAGGGGCGGAGGGGCAGGGAGCCCTGCGGCCCTGTGGCCTGGACAAACTGCCTCCCCCCCCCCCTCCCGAGTTCCTCCTCTGTGACATGGCATGGGCTTCAGTTAGACAATTCTGGAATGCATTTCCTCATTGCAGGTGTGTCTTTCCTGAAAAAAGAAAAATCTCAACAGAGAACAATGTTGTCATCCTTTGCACAAAAAGACGCTTCGCCCAGACAATGTGCACAGCTGATTCCCAGAAAAACTCAAGGAGTGGAGTGTGTAATCTCTTGTAATACCTGGTGAACTTGGCTTTCAGAAGTTAAGTGGGAACCCGAAAGTTTGTACCAGGTTGGCATAAGCTGTGTTTGGATAGGGAATTATTGATTTAATTTAAATAACTACCTGCTCTTCCTGGAAAAGGAATCAGCTGAATAAGACATTGCTTGGAAGGATTCTCAATACTCTTGTCTCTTCTGAGAGCAAATCTCAGCTTGCAGCTTGCATGTGGAGGGATTGATGCCAGGATCTAATCGGGCTCTCCCAACACAGACTGGAACTCCGGGGTTCCCCGGCTCTCCCTGCTCCCCTCCTAATCTACTTCTCCGGCCTTTCTGTCTTCCAGAAGCCGTTTCCTTGGCCCAACCTCCCTTCCCTCATCCCACAGTTGAAAGCTTTCTTGACTCTCAATAATGAGGCATTTTCCTCCTTTTGAATCTTGATTGCATACTTCACTTGTGTCTCTGTCCCGCGTCGGGTATGCTTGTCTCTTCATAGACTCTTGGAGTTATGACTGATTGCAGAGGCGTTCATCCTCAGCTGGTCCCACGTGGATTCATGTGCTCGTTGATTATTGGAGCTAAGTCTTCCTCCAGCTGTATTGCTCACACAGTGGAAACAACGTTCCATGGACTCCAGCTTGGGAAGGCGTCTCACTGAGACGCCGCTGGTGTCTTCTGTGGCCTGTGGCGGCCATCTCTGCCATGGCTCTCGGCCTGGTGTGTTTGCACGGTGTGCCACGGCTCCCCAGGGCCTGTGCAGCAGGGACAGAGCACTCAGCTCTGCCGTGGCTCCCGGCCTGGTGTGTTTGCACGGTGTGCCACGGCTCCCCAGGGCCTGTGCAGCAGGGACAGAGCACTCAGCATCCTCACGTCTCCATTGCCTAGTTGAGGACCCTGAAGTTCCCTGACGCAGCCTCTCACGGCCCTGGGCCCGCGGATGCCAGCACCCCCTCTCCGCCTTTCAGGAGAGGTGCTCAGTTCTCCAAGACTCCGTCTTCTTTGTGGTGTGGTGGTTTGTGGTCAGGAGTCTGAGGGGCAGGGAGCAAAGGCTGCCCCGTGAGGAGAGGACGGGAGGCGCCAGGGAGCAGCCGGGAAGGACGCATCTAAAGGGAGGGATTAATGGCTTTTGTGCAGTTGCGGCTTCTGGAGCTGAGCGGGACCACCGGACGGAAAGCCGTGTGCGGGCCCCATGCTGCT